CTAAGTCATGCATCAGCACAACTCTGTGCTCCAGGACAGGGACAGCCGTGGCCACACGGTATCCTTGCCCACACTACCCCATGACATCCAAAGAGCATCTCTCACCAAGCTGGCAGCTGTGGACTCAGGATGTAGCCTTGTGGTTACGGGTGCAACTAATACCTTGACACAGCTGTCCTGGCTAATTGCTCAAGGACAGAAATAAATTGAACAGAAACTCTGCAAAATGCTGTAGTGAAAGGTCTAGGAGGAAGCTGGAGGCACATAGGCCGTATGGCCTTGTGGGCAGAGACGGATGTCCACAGGGACATCTGGCACAGGGTACCTGCTTTACGCTTCCCAGACAGAGCTATGCCAAATAACCGTCTTGTCTGGAGGAGGGAGCTCACTCCCAGGCTCCACCTTCCGCCAGCTTGCAGCCGGGCTAATGCGAAGGAATGTAGTCTCTAGCAATGCCTCTTTATAAATTATTTTTACTGGGGGATTTAAGTGTCATTACAGTGAATGTGTGTACAAATACGGGAAGAACAATGTGCACTAGAGAAAACAAAGTGAAAAAACACCCAGCTTCCTATTCCTCCCGGGGAAACCTGTGATTTCTCCCACCTTCTTGGATTGCAGTCTACTACAATATTGTACAGCCTGTTGCCTATTTTTCTGGAGCAGCAGACACTGAGTACATCACTCAAATCCCATGAAGTTGTTTAAGCTTCCACTTCCACATCCTGAGGAATTAAATCTCTCGGAGAAAGGAATGACCTGGGTGTCCCTCTGGATGCTCTCCTGGTGAAGGATAACTCCTGGCATGGGGCTCGGAGCTGGATATTTTGCAGAATTTTCCAGTTTTACTGTCAGTCCTATCCTCCTGAGCTCCCAATTCCCTTTTCCAGCTCCTCACACATTTGTCAGGGCTCAAATAAATGTGATATATTGGTGCTTCGTCAGTTTGAAATGAACTGCAACCACCAAACAGAGGACTCGTTCTGTTTACCTTCAGCCATCTAGAAGTCAAGCATCTGTCTTAAACTAGATGTCTGTAGTCAGAGGAGAGGGATGGACACTGGCAGAAATCAAATACCTCCCTCTTTATTTTAAATACCTTTCTTAGGCTAGGATGACTCACGCACTGAAAGCCTTTGCCTTCCCATGGCTGTAGAGCAACCTACAAAACCAAGTTTTGGATAATTAAGGTGTAGTGACTTGAAACCCACCCTCAATATTTGTTTATAAAGCAGCTGCGAAACATGAGATCAGTGTGTTTAGGATTCTGATATTGGAGCCAGAAAAGGATGTGATCACCCATGCTAACACTAAAAAAAATAACCTGGCCTGCAGCCTTTAAATTTTGCTCACCCACAGTATTTCAGGTTCTTTTAGTAGAAAACCAAAGCATCTGTCAATTATAAAATGAATCTTGCCCTATAAATTGCTGCCTTCACAACTAACAAGGTTGTAGAAGAGGAGGCAGAAGTAAAGACTGAAGATGTCCCAGGAGAGAGAAGGCCAGCACGGGATTTTTAATAATTTAACAGTTACTGGAATGTGAGCCCGTGAGGTTATTTCTACACATACACACACAAAGACATCACAACAGAGAGCCCTTCACTCTCTGAGCTGAATCAAAATCAGTAATTTAGAGAGAAAAATCTCTTGAACTGTTTGCCAAGGGTTAGGAGGCTCTGTGGAATTGGAGTAGCCTGGATGTGCCATTTCTGCAGGTGCTGGGAGACTGGGGAGAGACAGTGCAGGGTCAGTGGCAGCTGCACCAGGGTTTCTGTCCTTCTTCAGCTGCTCCATGCTTTAGAAGACTTTTTTTTTTTTTTTTGTGAGCTGCACTCCAATGTTCGACTGGTGAAGTACCACGTCTGCAGCAGCGGCTCAGCAACTCTGCTAAGCAGTCAGAAAGAGGCAGTGGGGCTGACAGTGCCAGGCCAAATGTGGACGGTTGCAGATGAAAGCCAAGAAGAGCAAACAACTCCTCAGACAGAGGCAGCATTCTGGCCACTGAAGTGATGCAGTCGGAGCAGCCCCTTGTTTCTTGCAGTGCCCAAGTGGTTCAATTAAGCTGAATGAATAAAATAATTCGTAAGGGACACAAGTCTATTGAATGCACTGAGCAGAGAATAACACGCATTATCGAATGGGATGCCCGTCGTCAGAATCCCTCTTTGCAGAGCAGCGAAGCCCTTTTGTGCCATGGTGGGGCTGCCCAGACACACTTGAGCTGGATTTTAAGCTGCTGGCTCAGGCGCTGCTCACAGAACCCAGCGTGGGCTGTGCACAAACCCCACGTGCGGATCTGCAGAAGCTGACCCTGAGGCTGCAGCGTTGGCAGAGTCTTGGCCAGGCTCGGGCTGGCTCAGGTTGATCGGGACTGACGTCCTCACTTTGGCAGGACCCTACCCACAGACAGCCTCTCTCTGTCTCGTCAGCCCTGGAACCAGCTGCTGCACCCATGTGTGAGCCAGCAGTGGTTACCAAGTCAAGCTGAAAAGTTGCTAGTTCTGGCCATGGGCTCTGGTCCTGCTTCGCCGTCAGGATGCCGCAGGACCAGACATCTCAGAGTCTAGACTGCAAGGGTGTTTAGCAGCTAATATCTTTGGCCAGGGGACCACAGAAATCTCGTTCCTTGAGGAAGACACTTGGGCATAGTGTTTTTCCCTCCCTGCCAGCTGGATGACATTTGTGGCATCTTTGAGAAAGAAGAGCACTGCCTTTGCATCTGAGTATTTAATGCTACAGGCAATTTTTTCAGGCTTTTCTGGATTTGCATGCCATGAAAATTGCTCCCAAATCTCTTAGACATCTAGATGAAGCCAGCTCTAATCTTGGTTCATAAAGCATCAGAGTTGTACAGTAAGATTTTCTGAATTTATCCATACAGGCCAATATGGCTGTGTGTCTTGCACAGATCCAGAAAATTCCACTGAGATTTTCATCAACGTTAGGCCGTTAAAGGTTACATTCAAAAACAGCAGCATAAATCAGTTAAAACTATCAAGAGTGGGAGAATATGCTATTTATTTATGACCATGGTAAATCAAAAAAGATGGGTAAAAATTAAAAATATTCTTTTTTTTTTTTTAACTATAGATCTTCCCCCTTCATTTCTGTCTTCTGTTTTGTAATGAAAGGAGGAAGTGATAAACTTTTCTTTACTTTTGCCTTTTTCGTCTATGGAAGCTACTATAGTCAAATCAAAAGCCAGTATGTTTTGTAGACACTTCTTTTATCTCCTTTTGTTAAAACACATAGAATCATAGAATCGTATGATGGTCTGGGATGGAAGGGACCTCTAAAGGTCATCTACTCTAACCCTCCTGCTGTGAGCAAGGACATCTTTAACTAGATCAGGTTACACAACCTATCTAAGAAATGTCTCTTCACTTTTTTTGCTAAACACATGAGAGGAAAAAGAAACCTGATCAGCCCTAGAAAAAAAAAACACGATCAGTTGCTTTGTCTTTCAGGCACAGACTCAAAAATACAGATAGGTTTATATATAAATATATATACAGTAACCAAAACCTCAAATTCAAATACACCTGAGCTTTGGGGAAGTTTGTATATTCATTCAATCTTTGTGGCTTAGGCTCATCTGTAACAGAAACATTTGCAAATAGACAGAATACTTCCTCTTTAATCTTATCTAGTGATCTGTCTGTTTGTCTGGGTTTTTCCTAGACATGGCCTCAGATCCTGATATCCGAGGGCTGCACAGCTAAACTAAGGTGAGATCATACCCAACTTCACAGAGGACTTTTTTGTGCTTGTTTGCCACGAGCATTTGTTTCATTTTGATTCAGTGGGATGAAAGGCAGAGCAGCCACGCTGCCTGGCTCAGCCTCCACTGGGCCTGTGCTTGGCTCACCTTTGGGAAAATATCTGATTTCAACTGATGGCTATTTGATCTATGGACAGACTGTGGCCGAGATGCACAAATTGGTTCTGCAAGACCTCCACATTGTGAGCTCTGCCACAGTGTTGACTACATCCCAACCTTTGGCTCCTACCCCTAGCGCCTCTGCCAGGCCAGGCAGTGACCAAAGGCTCCTCACCACCTGCTCTTCAGGTCACATATCCTGGGGGAGATTCACATCTGAGAGCTCCTTCCTCATCCACAAAGAGGATTGTTTGAGGTTTCATGCCTTTAATGCCACCTTTAGGCAAGCCGTTGTAGCTCAGCAATAGGGGAGTGTTGGGACCTATCTGTGTGCGTCTGGCTAATTGCTGTAAATTAGCTTCGCCCATTTATGCTCTTGAAGAACTCCAGGCACATCTCTGGCAAGTAAAACAGATACACTTCAGCTAAGCACCTTCGATTCATGCTCTCTTGGAGGACAGGAGGTGGATGAGGCCGTTTGGTAGCTGTTCAGATCAAGTACTACTTGGACAACTACCCTGCATTGCATTTTGAACAATTTGTCACAGCCCTTACCTGTGTCAGTAATTACAATTACCCCTGAGATTTAGTGCACTGGGAAGGGCTCCAACTTCAACAGAGCCAGGCCATGCTGCATGGATGGAGAGAAACAGGAATATTTTTCAGCGCTTTATTGTGTTCTTTCCTGTCTGTGTCACCCCATGTGTCTCAGAGGGGTTTTCTCATCTCCTCGAGCATTTTAGAGTGGATGATTTTTCACCATTTTCAGATTCTCTGCATTCTCGATGCGAGGCCTCACCAATTCCTCCCAGTGCTCGTGTGCTTAATGGGTGAGAGGAGTGGGGTGAGCATATCTGAAAGGCACGCAAGAAATATAAACAAATTTATTAACAAGACCACAAAACTGGGTTTTAATATATGCAGCCATTTATAAGGAACAAATAAACAAACAAACAGAAAAACCCACTGGGGAGAATATGGTTGGTGTCACAGAGCAGAGCGAACTGGCACTGACAGTATGGGCAGGTTGGGGAAGGGTTGCTTTCCTTCACCCTACCTCCACTGTGGATTGTCCCTGGTCGACGTGGGTCCCTACGACCAGGGTGAGAGCCCGGCACTAAGGAGGTGGGGTGCCACGCGCATCCTGCTGCGGCGCCAGCGATGACGCCAGCTGCGTCAGAGCTCGGGCAATGACGGAGAGGTGGCCGTTCATCGTCCGCAGCTCTGCCAGGATGTCGCTCACGTTTGCCGATGCCTGCTCAGAGCTCGGGGGCACGGCGTGGGGGGCAGCCGGCGGTGGGGAGGCAGCCCCTCGAGCCCTGTCTCCCATAGGTGCTGCCGGAGGATTTCCATCATGGGAGGGGTGTGGCGGGGTGCTGCTGCAGTACTTCAAGCCTTCCAGGGAGCCCGTTCTTATGGGTGACTGGTCTTCCTCCTTCCCTTGAATGGTGGCCAGCGTTGCGGAAGCGAGGAAGGGCAGCCAGTTGATAAGGTGGGTGGCACTGCCAGGTGGGACTACTGGCAAATAGAGTCCAGGGTGAAGGGATGGAGCAGAAGTGGTGGGTGCAGGAAGAGAAGGGAGTCCAGGGTGAGCCGTGGCAGCAGAAGCTGACGTTGATGGTGAAATGGGAGGAGGTTTGGGCTGTAAAGCTGCAACACATGCAGGTAACAGTGGTGAAAACGATGCAGTACCAGTGTCAGAGGAAGAGGAGGGTGATGCTGGAGCTGTGAAAGGTCCATGGTCTTCAGAGGTTGGTGGTGAAGTGGCAGCAGGTGGAGCATCAGGCGTGCAAGGGTCTGAGTCTGCAAGGAAGACACATCATGAGCCTTGGTTCACATGTGTACTTACATACATGGGCTGTTGCTTGCTGTCACTTCAGTGGGACTAGGTCTTTTTGATTCAAGGGGAATTGCATCAGCTGCTAGTCATACTCTCTGTAGGCCTATTAGAAAAGAACGGACACGCTCAAAGACAAAAGCCTACTGTAGGTAAACACGTAACTTAGAATTATAAATCTAAAGTATAGTTCCACTCTCATTCTTCATAAAGCTTGTGGACAGGCCTTAACATTTTTCTGGTTGATGTCTCATTGGTATGCATTAGCTGATGAATTAACTACTGTGTTTTCCTGGCCAGTCATGGAACGATGGTAATGTCCTAACTGACTCAGATCTCCTGTGGAGATCTGAGGGCTGGACGGCTGCTGCCGGAGCCAAAGTTAATTGCTGCTTCATAGAGGGTCCCAGTTTTCAGTATTCTGGTTTGAACAGACAGGTTCAACACCAGAAACAGTAAGAGCTGAGTTGGTGCTTAAATACTTCAGTAATTTTCTTTTTTGCATAAAATCATGACAGAGTTCACACAATTTGACATAGTTCTAGATATTTAACAGCTTCAGCCATGAAAATCAACAAAGAAAAGACAGGAAGACATCGTTAACACTAGGTATTCTGGCTTGTTGCCCTATGCCATCTTGCAAGCAGTTCAGTGAACCTCATCCAGTGTCCACTGAAGTCATTAGAAACATGCTTGCTTGGACTGAGCCCAACATACATAGTGTAGGATGATGGAGCAGCCTCTAGGGAATAGGTAAAGACTTGGAGAGCCATGCTATGATCCAAGGTGCTCTACCCACCATGCTTCATTGGTAAATACTGTACGGTAAGAATGATCCTATTTTTACAATAATTCTGAAAGCCAGAACTATAATAGGAAATGTTAGCCTTTCAGCAGCCTCAAAGATCTACATAAGTGGAATTACTATACCACGCCACTGATCTTTATTTTAGCATTGGGACCACGTTACACAGAAGGTGGTGAGATGCTACAGGAATGGTCAGAGTAAGACAGATGGATTTTAAAACTACTTCTGCTGCAATTAAGTGCAAATTTTAAGGCACTGCAGTGGATACAAAGACACAAATTAATAGATTTATCTAGGTTAAGACAACCTACAGAAAGCCAAGTACTGAGGTGTTAACATCATACTATTATTATTTCTGGCATCTAAAAAATCTGATGTGAGAAATCCATTTTCATTGCTGGATGGTTTGGTACTCCAGATAGCAAGCTGAAATTTTGAGTCTAAAGCAAATGAAGGCTTTTCTCTGTCATTTCTAGCACCAAACTGATAAGACATGAAGCCAACAAAAGTCCATTGTTGTCCCACCTGGGACCACCATGTCTTCCTTAACCAAATACATGTGTTTGTTGGAGGGGTTATGACAGAAAATTCAGCATGCCCTTATGTTCCTGACATTTTTATGGAAAATTACTGCAGGTTCCTTGAAGCAGTTTCCTTCCCTTGTGTATTGGCTTTCTTCCCAACACAAAGTCCCTGCCTACACAGGCGCTCAATCCTCATTCACCAGAGGTGGACTGAGGATGCTGGATGTTGGGTTTCCAAAGTGTTGTTGATTGGGCTTTGGTTTCTCAAAACAAAACCACAAATAAAGCACTGTTCAAACACAGGTTCCATTTCCATCCAAACCACCAAAGTTTGCAAAGGGTAAGATGAAAGGTTCAGGTTTGGCTCAACCGTAGTGTTAACCAGAACAGTGTTTATGGTCCATATATAGCATGGCTAATCCCTGTCTACACTGGCCAAACAAACCAAAGTAAGTGTAATGTTTTTCCATACATTGGAAAGCAGAGGAAGCTCGACAAGCCTTGAGGTAATCTGCTTTAGCCCTGTGACAAATAACTGTCACAAATGTCTCTTAAATTGTTGAAGGGTAATTGGGGTTAAAATACAAGAAGTAGTAACTAAGAAAAATAGAGACAACAGTCTGATCACCAAAGGCTCTTCTTGTAGCTGCAATCCTTCCAAACAGGATGGCTTCTCTATCAGAAGCCATAGATCTGTCATCCCTCCTTAAGATTTATTTAATCCCCCCCTTAAGATTTATCTAAGCCATGCACCCTTTTAAGCATATCTTGGTCAGCTTGATCAGGCTTCCACACTTCTATCTATGAAATTCCACACAGGTTTCTGAGCACCCACGCAGGGAGCCCAGCATGCCCAGGACACGTGGAAGCTGTTGCACTGCTCAGATCAATGGCCAGTAATGTGCACAGTGACATGGAGCAGTCTGTGACTGCTCGTCTGGATGGTGTTGGACCCAACTGCTCAATATCCAAACACCTCCAAACTCACAAGGAAAACTGCAGAGTCACAGCATCACTGATGTCGGAAGGGAACACTGGAAGTTGTCTAGTCACAGCCTCCATCCGAAGCAGTGTCAACCAGGATCAATATGTTTTTCTCCATGGAAAAAATGTTTGAGAAAGCCCAAGAATATGGAAACCCGAAAAACAATGAAGGACGGAGTAATCTACTACAGTTGCTTATCAGATGCAACAGGTTATTCTATTTCTTTCCTTCCTCTCTGATTTTGAATGTTGCAACTCATCATAACTCTAGTGCTTGCTTTTTTCACTTTTTGTACAGCTCCAGTACAAAGAGAGTCTTTTTAATTGGTGCATTCAGGTGCACACTCGTTCCTGGGGATGTTATATCTGCATCTAGACAGACCTGTGGCTAACTGGGGCTGGATGGATGCCTGCAGAGAAGAGAGATGTTGAAGACAAGGTGCTCAGACAAATATAGTGACCTTCCCTAAACATATCAAACCATCTGTGCATGGTCATTTAGCATCCTCCAGTACACCCAGTCTACAGAAGCATATTCCCACATGCACACACTGACTGTTCAAGGCAGGCTTGTAGCTTAGAAGAACAGCTATTTCACCAGTTAGGGAAGTTAATCCATGACTCAGAAAACCTGGGTTGGGATCTACTTCACCTAAACAACTGAACTGTAAATGCCTAGTGAAGAAATTCCATGAAAGCACTTGAATTTTCTGTGTTACATATAGAGGGAAAGCCCCCAGAGGGAAGGCTTAGACTCATGGACTGTATCTTTCTGAACAACCCCAGGAGTCACTTACTTCTTTCTGTTGAGTCCGTAGGGAGCCTCACCTCATCCTTTGGGAGGACTGGTTTCCTGGGACATGATTCAGGCCACCTTTAGGTTTAGCAGTCTACAGTACAGATGTATACATCTTATCTAATTCCCTAGCCTTTCTTCAGAGTCAGTGGATTAAACAAGTCTAGCATCACCTCTTTATTGCTAGAATGAAAAATATTTGTCTTCATCTCTTCGTTGAGAATAGTGTAGGATAACTAACTCCAATATGGATGCCACTTAAAATGCCTACATTTCAAAAGAGAACACCTACACTAGGCACATAAAAATAAGATAGGGGGCCAGCTTAGAAATAGTGGATGCCTGACGCTCACTGCGCTCCTGATCTACTATGGCTCTCCCAAAGAGAAAGCAGTTGGACATGTCTTACCCATTTGCAAGGAATAGGGAATATTTCTGCACTGCCACCTCTGAGAGGACCTTGGGGTGTTACAAACTCACAGGACTGTAAATAGGCAGGCGACACAGTAAGGAGAGAGCAGAGGAGCATCTCCAGAAGAGGATTTCCTGGTACTTGCCCTGCCCATGACAATGGATGACACCAAAAGATTAATAGACTGCCCCGTGAGAATGAAGAAACCGAAATTATTTTAAATGCATTAATCTGTATGAGAAAAGCAAGCATTTAACTTTTCAGGCAGTTTTGGCTATCTTTGCTGCTTTTGTCTGACTACTGATTTTATCTGTCTTGCAGTCAAATTGTTGCAAACTCCTTTGTAGTCTTTTGTCAGCTAACAAGGGAAAGGTCTGTGAAGGAGAAACCTTGAGGGAATAGCAGGGGCATGACTTTCCACTGGCCAGCACACTGCATGGGATCCAGCTTGTCTAACTAGCTGTTTAGCTGGCATCTAGTGCAGGGCTCCAGCAGAGAAAGAAGCACCTCTGGGGACAAGCCATCCTAGATGGGCTTACTAACTTCTAAACGGCTGAAGTTGGGTGAGCTGGATTCCTCACTTTATATATAGATGCAGCAAGTAATTCCCTATCAAATCAGATCAGTAGACAAATAGTGCTGTCTCTGTGTTCCCATGGAAGGCATAAAACCATGGAGATAAGGCTTAAAGTGCAAGAGAGCAGAAACTTAGGCCCCTAGAGTTCTTCAAGAAATGAGCTGGTGCTTCAGAAGGTGATAATCTTTGAAGTGAGTCAGCAGTGAACAAACAACCTGTTTCGACGATAAGGATATTAAGATGTTGAAATGAGTAATGTACTCTCTTTGACGACACAGAAATCTGCGGAAGGCCCTTGTGCTCTGTCCTTTCTGCTCGGGTTTGTGGAGTTGTTCCGTGTGTGCTTGTGAGACCAAGTGCGTGCAACAACTCCCACTTCGTTTTGCAGCTGCTTCCCAAGAAAGTCTAAATATACGCCTGCCTCCTCTTTCTGGTAAGAAGTGAAACTGAAGTCCTAACAGCTTGCGGTAAATGAAAGTCCAATAGAATCATAGAACCTTTTAGGTTGGAAAAGACCTTTAAGATCATCGAGTCCAACCGTTAATCATCGACCTTTGTGTAAGCAAGGGCAGAATCTGAATCTGAAGCTGCTCAGATTTGGTTCAGACACAGATTGCTGGTCTGCAGTCAAGCTCAGAAGGGCTTCCAGCTTGAAATCAAGCTTAGAAGGGATTAAATTAGAGCATTGAGTAATGAGAATACTGGACATTATATTATAATAATAATTAGAATATTAGAATAATAATTAGAATCTGAATAAAAACATCGGTGTGGGAACTTCAGGATCAGTGTTTGCACGTGTGTGATTTCAGAAACTGAATTTGATTTTAGATATGTCTAGCATCAGGGTTTTTGTATGAATTCA